GCATTTTTATTATTCTAATATTTGTTATCGTAACTGGAAATAATCATAAATAATTGTTAACATTAGATCTACTATCAATATGTTTAATTTCTTATTAATATGTATACCACAGGATATTATACTTGAATAGTCTAATGTATATCTTATTGTAAATTCTGTATGTTATTATGTTACTGTTTATTGTGTTATGTAAAACTGTATTTATATTATTTTGCTTTGTATTACTTTAATTGATTATAATGTTTTGTGTGCTATTGATTTGTACTGTTAATATGTAAATAATTCCTATGCATATTTATCTGGTAATGCACCTAATGTGGCCAGATATGTGCGTATGCACTTTAAATAAAAATTGTCTGACTGACTGACTACCGTATATTCCGGCGTATAAGACGACCCCCGACTTTTAAGAAGATTTTTCTGGGTTAAAAAGTCATCTTATATGCCAGAAAATACAGTATCTACAATTTTATTACAGTGAAAATCTAAAAGTGCAAATTTTAACACAACTTAATAACTATCTATTTTAATTTGATTCTGATGTTGTCTGTTGTAAAGTGATAATTTTATGCAAAATCAAATTAATGATTAAAAGATATAAGAAACTTTATTGACTTAGAAACATAATCCAAAAGTTATTATTATTAAAACTGATCAAATTAGTTTCGAAAATAAGTACTATAATAAATAACTACTCGTCGAACTAACGCTCGGCGTTCGACGAGCGTTAGTTCGGCGTTTAGCACTAGCTCAGTTTGGAAATGGACGAGAAAGTAATTGATTGTGTGTGCTCCTCCATCGTCGCTATAAGGCAGCACATATATCTCAAAGCGCCCGTAAAGTGACCGCAAAACGCGCGTTTTAACAAAAATCTATAAACGCGCGCTTGGCATTTGACTGTGTACGGCTACATAGAACTCTTGGTTCTTTAAAACACGTGTTTAAAAGCGCGCGTTTAACGCGCGTTGAAAAACGCCTAGTGCTAATAGCTAATTAGAAACAAATATAATATAGCCTGATATTTATATCAGGCTATATTATATTTGTTTCTAATTAGCTATTAGCCTTAATATAGCCCAATAGATAGTTCAGCAGAATCATTTTGCAATAAGTTCTACAAGTTCTTGAAAAGTGTTGTTTTTAGAGAACATTGAAAATATATGAATTTAAATTTCTTTTGTTTTACCATTTAATTATTAGTTTGTACACAAATGTTTTAGTTTTTTATAGCAGTTTATTTCATATAATTTTAATTGTTTGAGAATTTTCTCATAAAATTTTACAATCTTCTGTGATTCAGGCACTTCTACTAGCTATGCATCATCTGCTGGAACATTAGCTTCATCTCGACATGGTTCTATTGCTACAATGCATCCTGTTGTGACTCTTGGACCAACAAATATTTCTGGAAATGCAACTATGACATCAATTATTAGAGGTACTCATTCTGCATCACAAGCGATGTCTGGACATTTAATGAACACTTCTCACATGCCATTTTCTTCTCATGTGCCACGAGGTAAGTAGTATTACTGATTTAAATAGCAATATTATAATTAATATAACATTGAGATTATAATATGTTAGAGTTTCATGAATGGTCATTGAGAGAATTTATATTTAAATATGTCTCTCTCTTATTTCTATGAGAGAAAAATGGTGGTAATTGAGTGCATATTGTTTGTTCTCTTTCATGTTAAAATTTTTCAGTTTTAATGTTTTCTGCACATATATTTAGAAAAGATAGACAAGTATCTGACAAATGATTAAATTTCAGTGATTTGTTGAAATTACAATATTTTAGTGCATTTCATTCTTAATTAATCATGAAGTATCTCTTATGAAAGAAAAATTTATTATATACTATGTGAAAGTTTCTACAGTAGACATCTACAATTTTTCGATATTTTAGGCTATATTCTCAGCTTATATTTCTAATTATATATTAATGTTTTCTCTAAGCATAGTGATGTAATACTTGTGATGCACAAGATTTACATGTAGCTTGGAGTTGATTGTTAGATAACTTAGATTTTTCCACTTGTATTGTTTATTTAAAGTTTCTGTACATCATAGCTATATCACATGGTATTAAAATTCAAATTTTAATATGAAGCACTTAAGGAAATGTTTGAAAGTGTGAAACTGCTTACAGAGAAAGTTAAATCAAATAAAATTTACAAGGTTGTTATTCCTGAACATGAGTGATTGATGAATCCAAAAGTACTAGGGTATGAAAGACAACATACTATATATAAGCAATTGTGTATTCCATTAAAAGCAGAAGTTAGTTACTAGTTTAAAAGTTTGAAATAAGTTAAATATGAAAGGTTAAATTTATGTAATTTTATAAATCATCTTTATAAGCAAACTCCCTGTGATAATTTTGAATCAGAAAAATTTCAGATACAAAATATTATTTTGAAGTTACTATAAACTTGGTAAAGATTAAATTATATTTTCTTTGTATTTTTTATTGCAGTGGTATAGACCTTATCTAATATATGTATTACCTTTATTAAAATTTATGATAATAATTTACAACTTTCTTAATTTTATTTAACAGTTCTGCTTCATTGAAATATAACTTTAAAAATTTACATTTTTTAAACAAATTTTTATTTCATAGGTCCTGCTGCTGTTGCAAGCATTAGCACTGCTCCAAAATCTGCTGTTGCTACTCCAGTTTTAAGACCAGCACATACATCTCCATCGATAACATTACCTGTTCCTGGTTCAGCTGCAGTTACTTCATCTCATGTTCAGATAACAGTAAGTACACAGTAAATCAATATTTATATACTCATTGATAAAAAAAAATAACATACTAAGAAGGAGGTGAAATCAAACAAAACTTTATTAGTACAAACGTAATGATGACATTAATAAGTGATTACAGTATTATAATGTAGGAACCATTTGTGTGGAACAACAATACAATTTAAAGCAACCTTTAATATTTTGTATGTTACATGTAGTAATATGGTTGGACATGGAGGTAGTATCTGTATGCTGTTCTATGAGAGATTTAACCTTAGATGTCGCAGTTGCCACTCCAGATCCCTCACACTTACAGATGATCAAAGCTGGCATTCCATCTGGTCCCACAAATGTTTAATGAGTGACAAATCTGGAGATTGAGTAGGCTAAAAAATATGACAATGTGATGTAAAACCTGAGAAACCATAGCTGTGTTCAGCTGAGCATTACCTTACTGGAAAGTGACTATTTGCAATCCTTTCATGAAAGACCACAAACGAAGGCACAGAATTTCCTCAATGTATTGCTATGTCATCAGTGTTCCTCACACTGCTAGTAGTGGTGATGGACTCCCATAGAGATGGTTCTCCAGACTAGTGCACCAGCAGTTGGGGATAATAAGGAGCTGCTCAACAGTAAAGATAGAATTGAAGTGCTCATTGGTGGTTCCATGCACTAGCACAGTTGTTGTCCATTCCCAAACAGACTAACCTGTAACAGTCCATGCAACAATGCTGGAAATGAAGCTGATGTTGATGAGATGCTACTAGTAGGAAACATAATGAATACTGTGCATACAAATTTGACTCTACTAGTCACTTTTCAATGGTTCAGGAAGAGGTAGGATTCTGTAGTGAGAGTCTCACTACAAAATCCTCTCTCTTTCTGAGGCTTCCACCTGTCTCTGGATGGTGAATAAAGAAACTGCTGCAGAAACTGAAACTGACTGTTTAAAGAAACTGTTTATGTTTGTTTCATGATCATATGTACTGATGGTCTGCTTAGGACAGTGATGGAAAACCCATAATCCATTCAATGATTTCAAGGTATCTGCATTAAAGTTTAGAAAGAATTAAGTTTTAAAATTATAAAAAATATTTTGTATATTTCAAAATTTTGCATATGTAATGTGAAAGCAGGGTCTTAAAGCTGTTGTGAAAAGTTTTAAAAGTCACTAAGTATAAACCTCAGATAGAAAAATTATTGTCAAATAAACAACAGCAGATTTTCCTTTAACCAGAATATTTATTTTTGTTATTATCATATTATTTTTTTTACACTTATATAAAGTTTATTGTTATTTTCTGATATTGATTAAAATTGTTAAATAAATAAATTTTGGAAGCATTTTATATTTTTATTTTTCAATTACTTAAATTGATTATTTGACTCACAGTTTGGAGTTACTAAATTTTGAATTTAATTTTGTCACACCTCTGGAAAAAGACTTGCCATTGCTGGTTTAGGGCATTCAGAGCCTGTTTGTGGTGTATATTCTTGGCATATTACTGCTTACAACACTTCCTCAACTCAGGTCAGAATGGCCCATATGGCAGGCAATTTGGCAAAAAGGCCATCCTGCTACTTCCCTCAACTTGATGATGTGGCCTTACTTAAACTCTGTCAGCTATGTGCGTTGTGTTTGACTGTGTTGTACAGACTTGCCTGGTGTTTGAAGACTTACGAACAACAGGAACATTGAAAATTGTGAACACAATGTGCTTCTGTGAGCCTTTTTATAGAATACTAGAGTAGTGATTTTGGTGACATTATCTGGCATGCAATCAGACTGACTAATTATATCCACTTAACTAGATGTCAAGTTTTGTAGTAATCAGACTATTCTATCTGATACATAACTTTTTTATCAATGAATGTAAATAAATTCTGTAAAGTTTACATATCATCAATATTTTTGTAATGCTTAACAATAGTAGTAGTATGTAAATTACAACACTCCAATATTTTAATATTGCCAAGCCTTAATATAGCTCAATAAAATCTGACAGACTGTTTGGCAAAAATAATGGTGTTTTAATTTTATTTCAAAATATTTATTTTGGAATTTTTGGAGAACTTTATTATTAAAATAAATATAATAATTAAAAAAATAAAAGTAATACATGANTATGCTCTCCATCTCAAATTAGTAGTGGCTTGCCTCTGTACATCATACTTTTTTTTTAACAATACAGTTGTGCCAGTTATCTATTAACTGCTTTCAGGGGAAAATGTTTGAATTGAATTCACATGACTTCTACTCTATACCAGAAGTTCATATATATATAGTTAATCAGGGCCTCCTGCACATAAGGTTTCTGTATCTGGTCTTGAATTTCATCTAATTCCATTCTTGAGATTAAGGAAAGACAGATGGACAGACAATGGTGAATTTATAGGTCTACAATTTTTTCAAATTGAAGCTCAATAAAACTTAGAGCTGCCTACTTTCATCAGACAAAATTATACGTGATCTGGTTCTTTCCCTCCCACTTTATGGATACAGAACACAATTATCATCATATTTTACAACCATTTTAAGTGGATGAAGTGTTTTAACAATACATGTCTGTGACACACTAAAATTTGTTGCATGTTCATGAGTTGTTATTTGTCAGTTTTTAACAATTTCTTCCCACAATTACATTTCATCAGCAGCTTTTGGGCAGCCCTTGGATGTTTTGTATCTTTTAGTTCAAAATTTCTTAAACGAAACTTTCAGAACCACATTTTACACATTCAAAGTTTAGGAGCATTTTCCCCATATACACTATGAGTATTTTTTACTGTTTGTACAGCATATATTCTTTACAAAACTTAAAAAGCATAATATGCCTGATGTGCATTTTATCTGAGACATTTTTACTTGATTTTATTCAAACGGAATATGGTGTAAACAATTTAAAATAAGTTTGTGAACAAAGAATATAATTTCACATTAGCAGTAAGGTGTTAAATCTTGCAATTGTTATAATTAAGTCATATATCTTGTTACGTAAACACAGCTGTTAAAAATATGCTGAAAATTTTCTGTTGAGCATGGAAGAGGATGCCATATTTTCTGTTATTTGGCCTGATTTTACTTTCCATTTTCATGTTAGATAGGTTCTGCTGTTTACAGGTTTTACAGTATATAGTGGTCTTTTTCAAAAAATAAAATTCTGTTTTAGGAAAAATGTAACATAAACTACAAAACAGTGTTTAATAACACTATTTATTTATTTTTTTGGGTTGCAATTTGAAAAAAGTTGTAGATCTGTAAATTCCCACTGTTGTCCATCTGTCTGTCTTTCCTTTAAAAAAGGGACCCAGTTTTTTAAAACTCTCCTGCAGCTCTTTAAACAAGTAAACTGCCACTCCCACATCATTCTCTGAATGTTGATCTTACAGAATGTCCTTCAGCTTTGGGAAGAAATGAAAATTATTGGGAGCATGATCTGGACTGTATGGTGTGTTGTCCACATGTTCCCAAATAAATTTCTTAAAGAATGTTCTAACATTTTTGTTGGCAAGCAGTTCAAGCCTTTGGTCAGCAATCCAGGCCTTTTCTTCTGGAAAGCATCCTTTAACTTTTGCAAAGTTTGACAACACCTTTGTCCATTTACAGATGTCTGTGGTGCATCCAGTTTTTCTACTTGCGTGTAGTCATTTTTGCAATAGTTGCCTTGGATATGAGCAAGGTCATTTTTTATAGGTATGATCACAACTTGCTATCGATTCCATTTTACTGGAGGTATGGTCAAAAAGATGGAAAAAATCTATATGAGAAAAGTTCAGGAAAGATGTAGCTATATTTTGACATACCTTTGGCATCAGTATTTGCATTACAATAGCCAGGAAAAAATTATCAAACTTTTTAAATTTTTCTTCTGTAGTTTTGAAGAAAAAGGTATAATTAGACTGAGAAATTTAATTTAAAAGTTATGGAAACAATGTTACTAAAAGTGGACCCCAGCCATTTTGCTATAAGTATAATGCTATTTTACTGTCTACTTAAAATCTTGAGTAACAAGCAATTATGACATTCTCACAATGCCAGGCTGCAACTTTTAATGCATGTTTTTAATTAATTAATTTAATTTGAAATATATGTTCTTTACCTCAAATTAGTAGTGGCTTGCCCCTGTATGTCATACTTTTCCTTTAACAATAGAGTTGTGCCAATCATCTATTAACTGCTTTCAAGGGAAAATTTTTTAATTGAAATAATGTGACTTTAGGTAAGTTTATATATAGTTAATTGGGCCTTCTTCCCATAAGGTTTTCGTATTGGATTACATCTATCTAACTCTGTTCTTGAGATTAAGGAAAGACTGATGAATGGATGACAGTGGGAATTTATAGGTGTACAATTTTTTCAAATTGCAGCCCACTCAAAATCTCATTAGATTGATCTTTTAGAACATTGAATTAAGAAATCTCAGAGCAAAATTAAATTATTGTTATATCTTTGCACAGAATACAATCTGTTTTCCTATTTTTTTCTTAGAAGGGGACATTTAAGCTTTTAATTGCTTTTTGCATCAGCATTTGATTTTGCTAAAATTTTTATGTTTTAGTAGATCTCTTCCATTAATGCTTGGTAACAACTCATGACAATGAGCAGTAGAATATGAGAAATTTTTTAAACTTTTTCATGTATGTTATATATTGAGTTCTAAAAATTAATTGTAACAAGTGGGCATGGACAAGTGAGTAAGGCACAGGGTTGGAATGCTTGATGTTGCAGATTTGTCTTGCTTTTTTCCAACTTTTTTCAAAATTTTCTTCTGAAATGTGCAATCCAATAAATTAGTAGAAGATATATTTGGCCCAAAAATACTGTTATGTAATTATTAAAATCATTTACAAATTTTAAACTCAACAAATTTATTAGTACAGTAGAGCCTCGAAAACTCGGCACTCCGGATAACTCGGCCACACCCTGGCAGGGCAAAAAAAAATCCTTAGTTAATTAATTTTCATGATAAAGACAGCTTTATGCCTCAAAGTATTTTTCTGAGGTCTGTCTTATCAGGTAAAATACTGTACACAGTGTATTCATTAATTTTTATTTTCATGTAGTAAAGGCTCTATGCCTTCATTAAAGACGTACTTTTCCTTTGTTTAAGGGTATTTGGGCAGTTTATTCTCTGTTGTATTCTCAAGTAAACAATACATACNAACAGGAACATTGAAAATTGTGAACACAATGTGCTTCTGTGAGCCTTTTTATAGAATACTAGAGTAGTGATTTTGGTGACATTATCTGGCATGCAATCAGACTGACTAATTATATCCACTTAACTAGATGTCAAGTTTTGTAGTAATCAGACTATTCTATCTGATACATAACTTTTTTATCAATGAATGTAAATAAATTCTGTAAAGTTTACATATCATCAATATTTTTGTAATGCTTAACAATAGTAGTAGTATGTAAATTACAACACTCCAATATTTTAATATTGCCAAGCCTTAATATAGCTCAATAAAATCTGACAGACTGTTTGGCAAAAATAATGGTGTTTTAATTTTATTTCAAAATATTTATTTTGGAATTTTTGGAGAACTTTATTATTAAAATAAATATAATAATTAAAAAAATAAAAGTAATACATGAAATTATTTATTGAAATATTTCTCTTAAAGAAAAAATAAATCTATATTACTATTCATTTTTTATAAGAATGATTATTGACAGAGATTATTTTACTTTTCATAATTTTTTTTTCTTAAAAATTTATTTTTCAATTATCTTTGTGTATTTAAAAGATCTTGAACTAAATAATGAAAAAAATCTTAGTGTTAGAAAATACCATTTTTAGCATTAAAAATTGAGTTACTTCCTCTTTTATAGCTATAGCTGCATGATTTGTAAATTGTTTTCCATGCATATAATTATCCAAAAAAAAATAAATGTGTGGTAATCTAACAGAGATAAGCCAACAGAATAGGAAAGATGAGATAAGAGTTTTCATCCCAATTGTATTATTTTGTTTCTTGTAATTGCTTCAATGTGTGGATGAATGTTATCTTGTATAAACAAAAACACCTCGACAATTCACCAAAGATGGCTGTTTTAGCCCTGATTTTCATGTACTCTTTGTAATTACTCATTGTACGAATCTTCTGAGAGGGTTTGACCAACATTCAAGTAATCACAATGAACATAGATTTGTTTTGAGAGTCATTCAAATTATTTATAAAAATGGTATTTTTAAGCTGTCTTCCTGTTGAGAAAGTATAATTGATGTGGAAGATTTTGATGAATAAAGTTATAAATACTATCTCACCATAAACTAGCGAGCAGGAATGGAACCTGCATCAACACTGATGTCATTCATGTATCATCTGCGTGGAAACACTATCTAGACTTATAACATATGTTATACACAATATGTCACAGCTGTTTTCGTTCTTTTAAAAATTTACAAGGCAGCTATGTTCTATTTATAGAATGGTTTTTTCAGTTTGTATTTTCCGAGAAAGGCCGATAAATTTAGTGGCCGAAAACATTTGATCTTTAAAATTTTAGACTGTTATTTTGCTGGAAAGTTTGAATTTAGGTGTGATTTGCGAATAAAATTATTTTAATTAAAAAATACGAACATTTTTATTCACATTTCAAAAATGGTATTATTTATTTGGTTATCTGACATAATTTAATTTTCATTTGTATTATTTTTTAATACTGTATTATCATCACTTACTAATAATTTTCATATTCATGGAGGGGAGATTATTATTATAAAAAATATAAGAATATAGGAACTTGTAGAATGCTTTACTTTGAGAACAGATAAACATGTAATCAACTACTTTTGTTATGTCGTTTGAAGCAATATATACTTGAAATGCATTAACATAAAACCATGGAAATATATTACTGAATATAAAAGATTTACAACTGTAAAAATATTTTTGATCTAAAATTTAAAAATATTGAATGAGACACACTGAGAATGAGTTTGTCTCATTCAAACTTTAAGTAAAAAAGAAAAGATGAAGTTTACATAAATTCCATTAAAAAATATAATTGAATAAAATTTTTATTTTATACTGGTATTAATATAGCAATGAAATAAGTAAGATGAATAATTATGATGCTACATAAGTAAATAGTTGTGAATATTCAATTCAATTCAATTCAATTTTATTAGCGTAATTTGGAAAAAATTCCAGTTACAAGGGGTACATTAGGTTACAAATATTAGTGAATATATAATATATCTTCCGACAAATAAATAATTATTGGGTAAATTATCTTCTATTCATACATTTAATCAAGTGACATAATATTGGATATAAGTACAAACAACAATAAAAGTAAATCTATAAATCATTCATTAAGGCTCTCAACCGTTTTAATATATTTAATAAAGAACTGATAAATTCTGGTAATCATAATTGGACCCATCTGAAATATTTTTTGGTAGAATTCTTGCATAGATTTGATGGCTGATGAGGTGGAAATACCAGTCTGTTCTCTAAGTTTGGAGCAACCCTTGCACAAACTAATTATATGATATACATAAATTTGGTCATTACACAGCCTACATTGTTTATTCCTGATATCCAAATAATTCCCTTCAACTATAATATAAAAACTGTTTAGTTTGATCTGCATATAAAATCTTTTCATTCCAAATGGTATTTTATAATGAATATAATTATTTGCTGGAGGAAAATTTAAATTAACTATATACCATGGGTGAAATTTTGACTCCTGTAAATTTTTCATCTCACGATCAATTGAATTATTATACATATTCTTCACCAATAAAGAAATTCTGTAATTCCAGTCTGTTTCTGTACTGTAAAATAGTAAATGAAACAAACCATAACTTTCCAATTTGATCCTAAGTTTGTTATACCAATTGTTTTGATAATTCTTTTTGTTCTCTGCCAAGTTCTTTAAAACTTTTAGTATTGTATTAACCTGTATGTTCTCACTAGTTAACAGTCTCTTAACAAATTTCATGGTCCTAATTACCAATTAGGGTTCTAATAACAATCTGTTAGTATCATGGCGAATTGCATATCCCGGCACTGTTTTATCTAATCCGTAAATTTTTCTTAATAAATAGCAATTGAATTTTTTCAAAGTAGGATAACCAGTCCAGACCCCATAATGGGAGAGCATAGCAAATAAAGTTGAAAACCAGTCTGAAAAGAGTTGAAAATGCATTTGAATAGAATTGGTTTTTATTTTTACTAATAAACTAATTAAATTATTAATTATTCTATATGCTTTGGTCTTCATCCACTGAACGTGTTTTTCAAAAGACAACGTTGAGGTAATAAGAACTCCAAATATAATATTTCCTCAGTTACTTTCAACTTTTTGTTCAACAAATAAAAATTATGATCTTGCCTCGCCAGCTTACCTCCTTTTTGAAACACAATAATATGGGTCTTATTCGGGTTGATCTTCAATCCCATCTTCGAAAAGTTAGTGATAGTTGTGAATATGCTATATTTGTTTTTTCCTTGTGTTCTTTTAGTGTCATATAACTTTTAAAAAGAATATTTTGTGTCAACACATTCATCTGATCTGGTAAATGTGTTAAAGCTGTGTTATGGGTTTGAATCCCATTTTGTACATGACATTTGTGATTACCAGATTTTAATAGAGATTATTGTTTTGGAATGCTCAAAAGCCACTAGTGTGGTGTTGCACATTAAAAAATTAATTATTAAAATATATTATTAAACATAGAATTCTTATTTGATAGTTTAATACTATATTGTGGAATAAATTCAAGATGGAGATTTTTTCATTGAAATTACTATGAATTTTTATAAATAGTTTTGTCATTTTAAATGCAAACATAAAACAAATTTAGTTTTATTTTTGTTTGTTGTTGAGTGTTATAACTCAAACTTTGTCAAAATTTGTCATGTTTGAATTTTCTATATGAATTATTTAATAATAGCAAACTCAGGCAATTCTAAAAAAGGAAAGATTAAATTTATATCTTTCATCATAATTCTATCACTTCATGAAAAATATAACAATAGTAAATATTATTAAGGGGAATAAAAGAGGAAAATTAAACCAGTGAATATTATTTTAATATTTTTGGAGCTTAAAAACTCTATTCTCTAAATGGCTCCAGTTTTGAAATTCTACATCTGATCTTATTTTTTCCTTTAAATTTATTTGAAGTCTTCAGTAGTTTAAATTCAAGAAAATTTTAAATTCTAAATCAATGTTTTTAAAATGTAAAATTTTTTCTATTTCTTTTTTTTCTATTTTTATTTCTACCTTTCATTCTGTTAGAATAGAATATATTTGTTTTGCTATTCATTTTAAAACTTGGTTTTTTCTGAAAATATATTTGATAATGAAAAGTATTACTGTATTATGGCATATAAAATGCAACTTTTATTTATTTTAAAAAAAGAAGGTTTAAAAATCATTCTATGTCTTATACAGTATTAGAGTTGTGATCTCCTATAGGCTAATGAATTTCCAGATGACCTTCAGTAGAATATAGGTAATTACACTAAATACTTTTTCCTAAATATTCTGTGATGAAAGCAGGTGTATCTTATATGCTATAAAATATGGTAATTTTTTAAATCAGAACATAATGTAATTGTTTATTATTGATGTAATATCAAAAATTGTGAATATTATTACATTTGAAAAAAAGATTTATTAATGATCTCTTATTGTTATTTTATTTTATATATTTATATAATTATTTTCTCAATTATTATTTTTTGTTTTATAAGTTATTATTAGTAAATACTTACAGTTAAAATTTTTGAAATATGTTTATTTCCCATTTAGCCAAGATCTACAGTTTCTGGAGGAAGAACTGCCACTCCACCAATTCCCAAAGCAGCATCTCCTTCTTTGTCTATGACTCAAGTTATTGATTTACAAAAGTAAATATATTTATCTGATATTTTATTAAAACATTTAAAATATAGGGTAACCAAGAAAGTTTTGTCATTTTTCTATTGTGGAAAAGAACTAATATAGGAAGAAATCAATTTATTCATCAAAATAGTTACCCTCACAAGCAATAACTTTTGCCCAACAGAAAAGAAGCTCATAAATACCATTTTTGTAAAAATTGTGATTTTTTTTTAGATACTAAAAATCTTTCAAATGCCTATTCCACAGCCTCTCTATTTCTTAACTGTTGATTGTATAGATTTAAAAAGAGGTGGTAGTCTGAATGACTAATGTCAGGAGAATAAGTTGGGTGCATAAGAAAGTTCCATCCAAGACTGAATATTGTCACAGGTTATACATGTAACATGTGGCCTTGCCATTATCCTGTAAGAAGAGACTGTTCTTATAGTTCACTGTGTTTTTTACAAATGCTTCATGAATCTGCTGTAGTTGGGCACAGTAGACATCTGCAGTAATGGTCTGATCAGATGGTAACAATTCATAGTGAATAATTTTTGCTACTGTCCACCATATACACTTTCTGCTGATGGTTACTGGGTTTGGAGGTCTGTGGCACAGTATCTGTAGACTATATCCAATAATGTGATGTCTTAAGATTACTGAATAAGATCCACTTTTCATCACATGTTAACAAGTGGTCCAGAAATGAGTTCTTTTGGTAACAGTAAGCAATCCCATGTGAACAGTTAATTGATGCTGCTTATTGGCAGGTGTTAGTTGATGTGGTATCCACTTTCCCAAGGCAATGGAAATGTATACAAATAATTTCATCACTGACTTTGAGGCCCTGTACACACTAGGCGTTTTTCAACGAGCGTTTAGCGGAGCATGCGCACTGGCTCGGTTTGGAAATGGATGTGGAAGTGATTGCTTGTGTGTGGCTCCTCTATCGTCGCTATAAAAGACGACGGCGGAGGCAAAGAGAATTTTGGGTGCACCCAATATTACGAGATAGACTGACGCATGAAATGTTTGCGACGTTGTATCCAAAACTAAGACAAAATAAATTCAAGTTTTTTAATTCTTTTAAAATATCTATAAAATCCTTTGACGATGGTTGGTCTCTTTTAGATTTCATCAATAAATAGATCAGTATCGAAATGATCGTTCTCCATTTCAGCACATATATCTCAAAGTGCTCGGCTGACGCCCGCAAAACGCGCGATCGCATGTACGGTAACATGGCAGCACATATATCTCAAAGCGCTCGCAAAACGCGCGTTTAACGCGCGCTTGGCTTTTGAGTGTGTACGGCTACATAGAACTCTTGGTTCTTTTAAACGCGCGTTGAAAAACGCCTAGTGTGTACAGGGTCTGAATCTTTGTGCCAATGCCCAGCATGTTTGAACAGAATCAGTTTCAATTGCAGCTTTCAGTTTATTGTCATCAATGATAGATGATCACCTTACATCTGGATCATCTTCAAGCGACTCATTATTAGATGCAAATTATTTAAACCATCACTGAGTGTACTGCAGAGACTAGCAAAATCTGCAAAAGCCTGGCATATTTTTTGGTCACATGTACTGAGTTCCAAGTTTAAATTCATATAGCATACAAGCATGAATAACAGAGGTTGGAGTACTCATTTTCAAGGCACTGAATATGTTATTCAGTCATGTCTTTTCAACTTTTTTGCATAGCAATAGATGCTTCAATACTTCTTTCTATGTCATTAAAATTATAACTCCCCTATCAAATGATTTGCATAAATACTCTATTAATTTGTAGTTATGGAAAATGACATAACTTTTTTGATTACCTATAATATGATTACCTGAAGTTTCCTGAAAAGTGGAAATACAAGTAGTTCTTGACCTACGAGTCCAGAACAATACCCCATTACCAAAATAGTTTCTTATATTCAATTTACAATAGGAGTCACAAAACAAAACTCTTTTGTGACTCCTATTGTAAGTTGAATATAAGAAACTATTTTGGTAAAGGTGTATTGTTCTGAAAGCTGCTCATAACTTTACACGATACTGCATATGTATAAATATTGTAATTATCTGGAAAGCATTATCTCTGAGCAAAAAAATGTAGCAATTGCTGCCAAATCTGATCACTAGTAATAAGTGTTAGATGTATTTGTGTAGATCTAGTATATGCAGTAATCATGAGTGTGGGATTAATGCCAAATTATTATAAAATTTGATTAATTGATTAATAATAAAGATGATTTTATTTATTTGTTTGTATGTTGGAAAGTATTACCATGTTAACATAATTATTTAAATTTTATATTTTTAGATCAACAAGTCATGTTGCTTCTGTTGGGCATTTATCACAGACAAGGACAGTTGAACCAACAGTTTGGTCAGGTATAACGCATAATGTTGCCTCTAGTAAACAAGTGCATATATCTCAGCCAATCGTGCAACATTTGCAACAACAGGTATGAAGATAATATATGTATATATATTAGAAAATACATTGTAATAGCAGTTGCTTCTGGGCCAAGTTTACCTTTGATGTACATACAAACATCAAAGATAAACTTCGCCCAGAAGAATAAATTTTTTTGTCAAAATACTCTTTTTACATGTATGTTATATAAATTGTAAAATAATGAACAATGTATAATTTGTAAGAAAAAGTTATGATCAAGCATGCTGTAAACCATCAAAAATGTAAAAGAATAACTTAAATCTGTCAGTTATTTGGTGAAATCAGTAATTTCTTTTGCAAAAATTGAATTGAATGACAAACAAAAGCTCATCGAGATGACAGGACAAAATGAAAAAATTAATTTTACATGGTTATATAAAGTAAAAAGAAGTTAATTTTTATTTAAAACTATGCAAAGTATAGCAAACTATAAAAATTTTTTATCACAATATTTTTCATAATCTTTATGAATTCATAAAGATGATGAAAATTAGGTTATGAAATTATTACATGTCTTAATAATTTGCCTGGCCTTGAATCTGAAATATAAGCTTTTAAGTTCTCAATGTTGCATCAACATAGTCCTAACTTACTCAGTTTTTGTTAATCTTTAAATTTGGATGTTTACTAGCCAGAAAAATGGGTAAATTTTGCTTATAATGTAAGGTAGCCCAAATGTCAAATAAAAAATTGTGGAATTTAGTAGATACTTTGCTGATTAACACTTTGAACATGAAATTAGTTTATTCTGTTAGAGATGAAATCATCCAATAGAAAAGTTGTTTGAGTGATTTTTGTATACAAGTTTACATTGTTGCCTGAGGGGTAAAAACAATCTAGTCTGTAGGTACGGTACATATAAAGAGGAAATTTTTAGAGCTTAACGTGTCTTGTGTTATTCCCGAAATATCTCGGGTCATGACCTCTGACCTCGATCGGTTGATTTGAAATATCTCATTTCAGCATTGGAATGGTTTTGAAACTACATGTCACTTTTTTTTTAATATAATTTTTATATTAAAACTAACTTTTGAAATATAATTTTTTTGGTTATCACATTTATTAATATAGCTATTTTGTTTGTGCAAAATAAAAAAAATTTTTTGAACAAAACAATAGCCACAATTGTTCTTTTCAGAAATGCATAATTTTCATTAGTCTTAAACATCGACAAAAATTCAACATGGCATCACATACAAATGGAGAAAACTTTGAACATCTGATAGGTTAAAGAGTTAGAGAAGGGAATAGGTTTATTAGACATTGGAACATCAAAGTTACATGTAGATCCATAATGCTTTCTTAAAGGACTTTAAGAATACTGTGATTCTGTATGTGAATTAATTTATGATTTATATAAATTTTTTTTTTTATAAAATTTCTTTTGAGATGGAAGTATTTTGGAAAATTGCAAAGGATGAAAGGTGTATACAAAACAGCACTGTATTAACCATGTGTCAAGATGACTGACTGTTGGATCAGTAGTAGAGAGAGTTTTAGAGCACTGGTTTGCAGTTGAAGACTATTTTTTGTTTCAGTGAATGATAAGAAATGAATAAACTCTGAAAACATGAAAGAATTGTAAAAAACATAAAATATGTTGGTATTAAGGTGGAATTAATTCTTATTGTGGAAACATTTGAACTGTATTTGTATTTCATTAAACTTTTCCAGCAGTCTTAACCACTTTACATATTTACATATGATATAAATATTAAATAATGAACTTCTAGCTATTTGTTAAAAATTGAACACCAAATGTGTAAACCAGATATTCTAAATATTAATGAAAAAGTAATATACTAGAATCTTTTAAAACTTACAGAAATCAATTTTAATTGTAAAACTATTAACCAGATAAGAATAATGAGTGAAAAAGATAGATCTGTTATTTTCCATAAAATTCAAAATTATCATATAACATCTTATAATTATCCTGGAAAAAGTATACTGGAAAGAAAATACATCATTTCATATTTAAATTGCTTATGTGAGGTTACCGAACCGTTTGTGACGTCAGAATATATCTGAGTTGCTCAGAAGCATGAGCAGGTGCATTTGGTACAGAGACAAACTCCAGAGTTACAAGAAATTAACCTGGTTTATTATAACCAAAAGAATAAGCTTACAGCTACAACAGTCAACAGTAGGTAATGTCAGGTCTTCTAATTTGTTTCATCCCTCAAAGGGTGAATCCCACTGGAACTATTCTTTCAGATCCCTTTCAGAAGGTCACAGGCCCCAAGATGTTGGAAGGAGAAAGTCCGTCACGAAGTTGAGGCGCAATTCAGTTTGATACTGATATGCAGAGGCGATTTCTTTTTCAGTGTATGGTGCCACACAATAGGAAGATGGAGAGAAGCTCTCCATGTCCTTGAAAATACCCATTTTATAAATTTTTTTCAGGTACCACAACAAATAATCTGATAGGTCGTTTCCGACTCACCTCCACTTTCCAATTGGTCTTCCCTCATTATGAAATGTAATAAGATCAGAATCCAGATCATGGGATGAGTCAACATCGACTGACAATTCGATCCCTATTGAAGATGTTTGATCTTAGGACTTACATGATTCTTTTGTCTTAATTTGAGAAGTGTCTTTCTCAGAATTTTCTACAAATGTGTCCTTTTATGGACATGAAATTTTCTATTTTCTTTTTTCTTTTTTTGTTAGTTTTTACAACATATAATTATTATAATTTTTTTTTACACAAGAAAACAAAATTTAATTTTTAGTATGTGTGATCTCACCCACTTCGGAAGCCATACAATTACATATGAAAAAAATACACTATGCCAAAAGTTTATATTCAATAATAGAAGTATGCAAATTATTTTTATTTTTGGTAGCAAAAGATATAGATATTAGAAATGAATGATGCATTCTACAAGCAGAAGTTGTCATTCCTGAAAAACAGATCAGAATTGATCGTTTTTGAAGAGATGTTCTCTATACAAAAATGATTTGGGTTATCTGTGGTATTCCTTTATAAATAAACTAATTAAAGCATACTTATCCTTGACCTGTGGCAAGAGTGATGTGAAAAGAGTTTTTCATATTTAAGAATTATTACTAAGGAAAAATTGATGTCAGAATGATTGTTAATTAATTAAATAATAGGCTAATTATTATGATGCTATTAAAAAATATTACAATGTGAGACAAATGCCTATTACAAAAGAAAGTGCTGAATATGGTGCTTAAAAACATATGAAATTTATTTACAGTGTTACAACAATTTTCTCTCCTGATACTAATTTCGGTTTTTAGCCATTCTGCTGTGTGTCTAGTGTTAGTCTATAGCTATGCTGTCCCATTCTCAGGGAAAACAAGTAAATTGTACAAATTAATAGATATATTAATTAAAATAATTGTGAATAATTTTCATATACATATTTTCTTCACATTACTAGAAATTGAACCTACTTTTTGGCTATTTTAATCACAAGTAGGTCTAGATGGTATTTTATCAAAATTATGGAAAAATGTAATGTGATGGAGAAATTTGGTTATTATGTCTGAATTCTGGACATAACAATCTACCAAAAGAACTTAATTTCAATCAAAGTGTTAATTTGTTACATATTGGTGTAACTAATTCATTCAAATTTGAGCATATTAGTCTGTTGTGTTGTTCTAAAATTAGCTGATGATGAACTAGGATAGTTTGAAGACACGATTGATATTAAAATATATGGACAATTTGTTTAAATTGTTTCTTGCTATTAATTATTATTTATTATATTTTTAAATTTAAGTTATTTTAAAATGTATATTATACTGTGTTTTGAAAGTTTATGATTAATAAATATGAATTTTTAAATATATTCATAATACAATAAATAGGTATCAGAACAAGGATTTTATAAGGCTTCTCCTCCAGTCACTTCAACAGCAGTTTCAGCCTCTAATCAAGTTACAACTACTACTATGAGTTCATCACAAACTTCAGGTCTTTCCATTATTCATCATTCTTCCTTAGTACCTCCTCCATCACCAATATCTCGGGCATGTACAGCATCATCTGTTGTTACTATTGCTGCTGCTCCACATACAGTTTCTTCCAGTCAGTCTTCAACTTCTCGTCCCACTCTTGTTCCATCTTCACCATTACAAATTATTTCTCATACAACCTCAGCTCCACTGGCAGCTCATCCCACATTAACTGTGATGTCTGCTAAAGGTTTATCACAAATGGTTCATACAGTTACTCCACTTCCACAGCAGTCTGCACAAGCAGTTACTATATCTGCTCCTCCTAGTAGATCAAGTAAATATTTAAATCTTTATATAATTTAATTATATTGCTGTTAAGAAAAATAAAATGTTTTTGGCTTTTGTATTTTGTAATTCAAATTCATAATCTTTGCAGATGCACCAGCGTATGTACCTTCTTTATTAGTTACTGCAACTACTTCACAAACTACTTCTACTTCCAATCCAATAACCTCTGCTGTGGCAATTTCAAGAACTATAACAACTGGGAGTAATATATCGCAACCTTCCATACCTGTTGGTAAATATTTTATTTATGTACTGTACAGTTATTCTGTATTTGTTTTACTTTCAACAGCATGTATAGTTTGTAATTTTAAGAATTCAAAGCTAGAAACTGTAATTTATTCCACAAAAAATGTTGGTGTAAAGAAATGAACAGATGCAATACAGTAATACCTCGACTTACGCAAACCCGGAGTTACACGATTTGTAAATCTCGTTGATTCGTCTTTTGTTTGAGTGCCACGCAATCCTTAATTACTCACTCCCCCCACACTTTTGTTCAGCTTACATGTTCGTATGTATCGTGCGGAATCCACACATAGCTACAATTCATTTTGTGTTATTTATTTCTGTGTTTGTTATATCTATGGAGACTTGAGAGACTACTTTGTCATCCAAACGAAGTAAAACTAATTCTTCTGCATCAAACAAGAAAAGAAAAACTTTATCTTTGGAATGTAAAGTTAACATTGGGTATATTCGTAAAGTCGAACGAGTTAAACAAGAATGACGTCATCGTTATTCCTATTTCGTTAGACTTTTCGAATGATTTGTTACTAACGCGTTTAACTCGTTTGACTTTACGAACGTACCCATTATTAAAGACTTTGATACAAAAATGAAAATTTGTGAATTGGCAAAGAAGTTTGATCTACCAGAATTGTTGGTCAGAACAATTATAAAAGGCAAAGAAAAAATTCTCGAAGCTGTGAAAAATGCTCACTCTTTCAAAATTCAAGCATCATTCGTAAACGTCACAGTATTATCGCTGAGATGGAAACAATGATAAAATTATGGCATAATAATCAAGTAAATGTGAAAAATTGTAAAATAATATAGGCCTAATTTGTTATACATATGTATTATCTCAGATTTTATTAAACATTTTTTTCTAAATTATTGTTTTCTTTAGTCTCCGGCCCCAATTAAAAATTATTTGTATGTATTTATATGCGAAATTATACCCTGACTTACGCGAATTCGACTTANGAGTTGAAAATGCATTTGAATAGAATTGGTTTTTATTTTTACTAATAAACTAATTAAATTATTAATTATTCTATATGCTTTGGTCTTCATCCACTGAACGTGTTTTTCAAAAGACAACGTTGAGGTAATAAGAACTCCAAATATAATATTTCCTCAGTTACTTTCAACTTTTTGTTCAACAAATAAAAATTATGATCTTGCCTCGCCAGCTTACCTCCTTTTTGAAACACAATAATATGGGTCTTATTCGGGTTGATCTTCAATCCCATCTTCGAAAAGTTAGTGATAGTTGTGAATATGCTATATTTGTTTTTTCCTTGTGTTCTTTTAGTGTCATATAACTTTTAAAAAGAATATTTTGTGTCAACACATTCATCTGATCTGGTAAATGTGTTAAAGCTGTGTTATGGGTTTGAATCCCATTTTGTACATGACATTTGTGATTACCAGATTTTAATAGAGATTATTGTTTTGGAATGCTCAAAAGCCACTAGTGTGGTGTTGCACATTAAAAAATTAATTATTAAAATATATTATTAAACATAGAATTCTTATTTGATAGTTTAATACTATATTGTGGAATAAATTCAAGATGGAGATTTTTTCATTGAAATTACTATGAATTTTTATAAATAGTTTTGTCATTTTAAATGCAAACATAAAACAAATTTAGTTTTATTTTTGTTTGTTGTTGAGTGTTATAACTCAAACTTTGTCAAAATTTGTCATGTTTGAATTTTCTATATGAATTATTTAATAATAGCAAACTCAGGCAATTCTAAAAAAGGAAAGATTAAATTTATATCTTTCATCATAATTCTATCACTTCATGAAAAATATAACAATAGTAAATATTATTAAGGGGAATAAAAGAGGAAAATTAAACCAGTGAATATTATTTTAATATTTTTGGAGCTTAAAAACTCTATTCTCTAAATGGCTCCAGTTTTGAAATTCTACATCTGATCTTATTTTTTCCTTTAAATTTATTTGAAGTCTTCAGTAGTTTAAATTCAAGAAAATTTTAAATTCTAAATCAATGTTTTTAAAATGTAAAATTTTTTCTATTTCTTTTTTTTCTATTTTTATTTCTACCTTTCATTCTGTTAGAATAGAATATATTTGTTTTGCTATTCATTTTAAAACTTGGTTTTTTCTGAAAATATATTTGATAATGAAAAGTATTACTGTATTATGGCATATAAAATGCAACTTTTATTTATTTTAAAAAAAGAAGGTTTAAAAATCATTCTATGTCTTATACAGTATTAGAGTTGTGATCTCCTATAGGCTAATGAATTTCCAGATGACCTTCAGTAGAATATAGGTAATTACACTAAATACTTTTTCCTAAATATTCTGTGATGAAAGCAGGTGTATCTTATATGCTATAAAATATGGTAATTTTTTAAATCAGAACATAATGTAATTGTTTATTATTGATGTAATATCAAAAATTGTGAATATTATTACATTTGAAAAAAAGATTTATTAATGATCTCTTATTGTTATTTTATTTTATATATTTATATAATTATTTTCTCAATTATTATTTTTTGTTTTATAAGTTATTATTAGTAAATACTTACAGTTAAAATTTTTGAAATATGTTTATTTCCCATTTAGCCAAGATCTACAGTTTCTGGAGGAAGAACTGCCACTCCACCAATTCCCAAAGCAGCATCTCCTTCTTTGTCTATGACTCAAGTTATTGATTTACAAAAGTAAATATATTTATCTGATATTTTATTAAAACATTTAAAATATAGGGTAACCAAGAAAGTTTTGTCATTTTTCTATTGTGGAAAAGAACTAATATAGGAAGAAATCAATTTATTCATCAAAATAGTTACCCTCACAAGCAATAACTTTTGCCCAACAGAAAAGAAGCTCATAAATACCATTTTTGTAAAAATTGTGATTTTTTTTTAGATACTAAAAATCTTTCAAATGCCTATTCCACAGCCTCTCTATTTCTTAACTGTTGATTGTATAGATTTAAAAAGAGGTGGTAGTCTGAATGACTAATGTCAGGAGAATAAGTTGGGTGCATAAGAAAGTTCCATCCAAGACTGAATATTGTCACAGGTTATACATGTAACATGTGGCCTTGCCATTATCCTGTAAGAAGAGACTGTTCTTATAGTTCACTGTGTTTTTTACAAATGCTTCATGAATCTGCTGTAGTTGGGCACAGTAGACATCTGCAGTAATGGTCTGATCAGATGGTAACAATTCATAGTGAATAATTTTTGCTACTGTCCACCATATACACTTTCTGCTGATGGTTACTGGGTTTGGAGGTCTGTGGCACAGTATCTGTAGACTATATCCAATAATGTGATGTCTTAAGATTACTGAATAAGATCCACTTTTCATCACATGTTAACAAGTGGTCCAGAAATGAGTTCTTTTGGTAACAGTAAGCAATCCCATGTGAACAGTTAATTGATGCTGCTTATTGGCAGGTGTTAGTTGATGTGGTATCCACTTTCCCAAGGCAATGGAAATGTATACAAATAATTTCATCACTGACTTTGAGGCCCTGTACACACTAGGCGTTTTTCAACGAGCGTTTAGCGGAGCATGCGCACTGGCTCGGTTTGGAAATGGATGTGGAAGTGATTGCTTGTGTGTGGCTCCTCTATCGTCGCTATAAAAGACGACGGCGGAGGCAAAGAGAATTTTGGGTGCACCCAATATTACGAGATAGACTGACGCATGAAATGTTTGCGACGTTGTATCCAAAACTAAGACAAAATAAATTCAAGTTTTTTAATTCTTTTAAAATATCTATAAAATCCTTTGACGATGGTTGGTCTCTTTTAGATTTCATCAATAAATAGATCAGTATCGAAATGATCGTTCTCCATTTCA